TTAACATTTAAAAAGGATAGTCATTAAAGCCTGATAATTACTTTATTCTTGCTATTTTTATATATATTCTCGACTTTCCTTATCCTTCTGTTGAGTCATTCTATTGAATTACAAAGCGATTCTTTGCTGTTAAATCATGAAAATTCTCGCTTTTCTACACAACAAAGTTAAATAAGAAATTCTTGAAAAATTTCTCCTATAAAATTGCAAAATTTCACGCTTGATTAAGAAAAATAAATTTAATTTATTATTTATAAAATTTAATTTTTTGGGTGGAGGAAATTCTAGAATTATTATTTTTCTGGATTATTTAATAATAATTTAAAATATTCTTTAGCTGAGGGATATTTTCTACATTTAATGTTACAAGATAATTTGTATATCCCATATTTTTCCTTTATCGAATTCCTTGAAAATTAAACAAAAAAAAGTAAAATAAAATTACACAAGCTGTTATGAAAGCTCAACTTACAAAATTTTCTTATTTATTTTCCAAATAATTCAGCGAAAAATGATAAAAATAACTTAAAAAGTGATTGTGACGAAATATATGCAAGGTTTATACGTTAACACAACATTGTAAAATATAATTTATAAATAATAATAAGGGAATGTCAAGGATTCACATCAGTTACACGCGGATGTAGGGTATGTGTCTATACATAAATAGGTCGTATATATGGAATTTTTTTATGATATAAAATAATAATAATAATAATAATATAAAAGTCTTTAATATAAACGTCTGAGTGGGAGTTTTATTAAATAATATAAAAATTTAGTAGCCTAACGGAAGAGGAAACAGGTGCGTAACTTAGAAAAGTATCATTAAACTATTGTTTGCCGTTCGTAGAACGTCTAACATTCAGTTGGAGAAACAGCTGAGTCAATCTATACGCCCTAACGAGTTAAAATAAATCATTTTTCTTCCTATATTTTTATAATATAAGTCCTCGACGAGGTGTTGTGCCGTTAAAAGTAACACAATGGACATCCTGCTCGTAAGAAAACGGTAATAAGTGCTGTTGAAAATGACCGGTACGAGTACAGAAATTGATCCTTGATGGATAGATTCTTCAGGAAAATATTGACGTGTTGCCAGAGTGACAGTCGTATTGCCTATACCCGTAATTTAATATTGGTGTGTTGCCAAAATAATCGAATGTAATTGTTGCAAGGTCGATTTTGCATCGGATATTTAGTAAACTAGCGTTTTGTTCCGTCTTCAGGGCCTTCCTGACCTCGGTATATGATAGACACGGCTCCTTCTTGAACACGTGAAATACCTAGAACGAATCTTAATTATAAAATAGCAGCCGTAAAGATTTTTTTAAGTAAAAATAACATTAATTTTTATTGGTATAAACCACTAAAAACCCCCTATAAAATCTCCAGCTCCCCCTCTAGGTGGCCGTGTTATATTAATAAATTAGAATGTAGAGTAGTGTGTTGAACGTGTTTAACTCAGTCCGGTTCTATTCTGCTACGTAAACAATTACATAATTTGTTTTAATACAGTTTCACGTATAAAGAATACCAATACGCCGCTACACAAACAACAATACAACAATTAATATTTGCATTTTGAAAGCATTAAATGAAAATCTGTCGCTTAAGAAAACATGCAATTACTTCAATAAAAGGTCACAGATTAATTTAAAATTAGAGAGAGAATGTTCATTTTAAAAAAAAAATGCAATATAGAAACCAGCTAAGTTATTTTTAATAATTACACGAGTGAACTCATCTACTGCATTCTTACAGAGTCCAGTTCAACAGGAAATTCGCCGTTGGTTAACAAGGTTGTTGCATTTTTCTTTTCTTTTTTTTTTTATTTCTCTGTTTTAAACAGGCTGTGGCTCTGCAGTAGCCATTTAAAAATTTTAGCCTCTCCTAGTTTAAGTAAATTCTCGATTTTTTGGTGGATTTTTATTTATTTTTAAACAGTGGACGGTAAGAATAACCCAGTTAGAATCGTTTCCTTATTCATCGATTGATGATCCTTATCTAGGAATCCCGTCCATCTTCTCTCTAATCAGTCATTACAAATTTGACCCATAGCCTGGAGGATCTCCAGTTTTGTACATCGTCTAGGTCAAGGAATAAGGGATGCTTACAAAAATGACATTCATTTTACTTAAACTGTGTAGGAAGATCGGAGAAAGAAATATAAAAGGAAAAAATAAATAAAGTATGTACGCAATCCGGGTTAAAATTAGAATAAAATTTATGGTTTATCATGTTTAATGGATGAAAAATGTGCAGTTATCGCCATTACAGTTTTTTTTTTTTTTTCTCGCCGCGAGTTCTCGTGTAGACAGGATGTTGCTGTTTTTTTTTTTTCCTTGTTTATGTTTCGTTTTGTAGAATTCTTAGAAGATTTAGTATAGTAGTAATAAGGATAAATGGAAGCGTGACTGATTGGAAGACAATTACTTCTTGCATTCCTTCTCCTTTTTTTTTTAAATCGATTATCGCGTTTTTCCCATTTCTGTTTACCCCGAAATCGAGGTATTTGCAATATATATAAATTGCTATTAAATGGGCAATCGATTGCCCATTTAATACCAACGAAACTGGAGAATTTGTGATATTAGAGTGCCGTAATCTGTCGGGTTTCCGTAATTTCACTCTTACAACGTAAGAAAACTTAGTGAAATTTTAACGCTGAAATCATTCGGTCCTTTATATACTGCGTTAAACCGGAAGTAACTGCATTGAAAACGGCAAAAAATCGATGGCGACCGATGCGTCGCGCGAGAAAAAACGATAGCGACCGAGATGAGTCGCGCGACAAAAATCGAGGCGACTGAAATGCATCGCGCGAGAAAAACGTTCGCCTCGCTGGCGATAGATTTTTATCGCGTGCGATAAATTTGCGTCGCTAGTTATTTATTTGTATTCAATTGCGACACGACGTCTCGCGATTAGTTGAAAACGACACGCGGTGACGAGGCAAATTACATATCTCGTTTCTCGCGATAAATCGCGAGATTCCCGTACATTTTAAAATATGTTACTGGAATTTATGGATTTATAATATTGCGTGATTATTTTTAATATGTCACAAGAATTTGTTATTAAATTTCATAATAAACGTAATTAAGGCGATTCCTCAATAAAATATTACATTGTTTTTCTAAAATATTTAAGGTTATTTGAAACTTTAAGGAGAATTCGAACCCCTCCCTCTCTTTTTTGCTATGGTATAGAGTTGCTTGGAAATGAATCATTTTTTTTCCAGAAAAATTCTAAAATTATATTCAGTTTCCCGAATTAAATTCAACATTGAAATTTATAATTAATTAATTTTATTTTTTAAAGTAATTTATCCTGTTTTAAACACGTTACTTTCCCCGTAAAGTAAACACGGAATTTAATTCTTGCCCTCTCATTCCAGTGACATTAATTTAAAATAGTTGTATGCGTGTGGAACAACAGTAAATTATTGACTTTTTTATTTTAAAATATAAACCTAAATTACACTCTTATTTGTCATAAAAAAGAAAAAAAAAGTGCAGTTGACATTTTCTAAAATCTTTCAATCTCTTCTAATATTGAGAGCTGTGTAGGGGAGGAAATGCTACGAGATAATGTAAAAGTATATTTTTAAAGGTTTTAAATGTAGAATATTAATTGTATAATTATCGTTTGTATAATATATTTTTGCATTTTTATTAAATAAACAAACTCCCAGACCGAATTCCAAGAAGGAAATTCTAGAAAGGTCGCAACGACCATTTCGGCTCGTGTTTCTCCAAAATGTACGAAATGCCCGTTGAAACTTATCGAACAAAAATCGTTTTAGTGTATTATTGAAACTATTCGTGTATCTTTATTGATAGAAAAGTCACATTAATATATATATATTTTAATATTTTCGAGTGTTTTAAGATATACACCGTCTGCACCATCACTTCAACTTCCTGTTGTTTCCTGTTGTACTTAATCGTTAGCTTGCTTGTACTATATTAGTCGTTTTCGTACATTTATTAGTAATTTGTTTATATTTTAAAATATTTAACTTGATAACGTTTAAATTAATTACCTGAACATTAAATAATGTAATAAAATCGAGTTTTTAATGAATAAATTAGCATATAGTGGAATTTCTTTTTAACGAATTTGAGGGAACCCCTAAAATGTTTGCTGTAATGAGAAAAAAGTATGTAAATTATCACCGGGTAAGTTAAATAGCTAAATATGAAGTCCATACATGACCAAAAGTATAGTGGCTAGTGAACCGATCAGTTGCTCGCAGGTTCGCACCTGCCCACGTGAAATTTTCCGGGTTTTCTTCACGTGTCTAACTCCTAAATAGGGGACAGTTTCACATAGAAAGTCCTCCCTGAGGCACACCCCATTGGCGGATTGCCCAATTGTTCGTCGTCTTACTCTGTCTCGGCGTCATCTTACCCTCACGCCTTAAGTAAATAACAAAATTAAAAGACGTATAAACGGCTATCGTTACAGCTGCCTCTATAACTTGTGGCTCTTGGGGTTAGTTCATCCATCTGCAACTCGTTAGTTGCCTTCGAGCTCGTCCCCTTCCTTTGGTTACACCAAAGGGGACGAGCTCGGTTCTTCATCAGTTGAAAGACAATAACAAAGGGGGGAAAAGCGAAAATTTCAGAAATTCTGTTACGCGGCAACGACAGAAAAGTAACGTTAAAGTTCATTATAAAAAGTTCGTATAACAGAAAAATTTTTTGGGTTTCTAAGGAAATTGGGTCGGGAAACCTAAAAGTCTGTTATAACGCGATTAATTAGTTACCGTAGCAAAACAATTCAAATATCCAAAAAAAAAAAAAAACCAATCACGTTAAAAGTTTCGAAACGAAATCGATCAATTACACGATATTATTCAAAACGGACCAATGACACGAATCGATTTTCAAATTTAAATCGATTACTTAAAAAAAAAATACGATTTCGTGCCTTTATTACAAATTGAATATTTAAAATAGGAAGAAAAATTGCCAAGTTAGCGCCCAAGAAGTTCAAAGTTCGTTATTTCTTTTTAATGGACACGTGAAGGAATTAAGAGGAATGCTTGTTTTAATATTCACGGACTTTAATTTTTTGCACTTAAGCAAATACAAAGACTTCACAAAGAATTTAGATCACTTATTTAATTCTTTTTTTCCCCTCAGAAAAAAAATGTGTCTGTGCGTTTCTTTAATCGAGTTATTTATGGAATTGTCGTGGTTTTGTTCCATTATCCGTGCAACAATTCATAGTTCATTTTCTGCTTTAATTGTTACTTAAAACAATAAGAAAAAAAAGGCAATGAAAAGACACGTTTGGGAGCAATTTCCGATGTAGAACGATTTTTTTCCTCTCTCTCTCCCTTTTTTTGTATTGTTATCAACAAATAGTGATCTATAGAAAGTTACTGACAAGTGAGTTACGACCTTTTCTCTTTTTTAAATGCATATATTTATCACTTGTTTCGTATCTTGAAAACAAGTCTATCTCTTAATCTCTTCTTATAAAGAAAAATGTAAAAACTCGATCCGAAAATGTGTGTAGTTAATTTATTATTAGCGTGAGTGTTGTTTCTCCCCCCTTCGTTATTTGGCAATAGAGTCGTTTTGATAAACCAGATAAGAAATTAGGCATAAACGAAAGCGAAATTCGGTCAGAAGTCTTGTTTTTTTTTAATCATTAAAAAATTATTTCCTACCATTAATAAGCTAAATTATGCTGTTTGGATAGGCTAAATACAGGAAATGCTGTAATAACTTGTTTATGCTCGTTGTGCTATTTAAGTTTATCAATCCTGTGATGATTAGACCATCAGCGTAAATGAGGGAGCTTGAAACTAAACGTTATTAGGAAATTTAAATGATGTAAAAGTGTTTATTGTTATTTTTAACGGGATTGTCTTCGAATTTACAAATCGATTAACGCTATTTGTCCATTTGAATTACTAAATAACGGAATTTTTAAGAATCAGCCAATGCGATTGGTTGGTTGGAATATTTCGAAATTTATTAGTTGTTAGTGGTATAATCAATGTCAGCTTTATTTATTTATCTGTTTATTAAATATAATAAATTGTTTTTAATAAATAAATTCAAAATATTCTAAGCAACCAATCGCATTGGTTGATTTTTTTTTTAAATTCTGCTATTTAGTAATTCAAACTGACTAATAAAGTTAATTGATTTTCAAATTCAAAGAAAATAAATTGTGTTAATGAATGAATAATTACTTAATGGAATAATTTTTTTTCCCTTTGAATTTTTTCTACCTGTTTATTATTTCACTTGATTTTAATGTGTATGAAGTAAAAGCTATTATAAAATCATCACTGTGGTTTGATTCATAGCCCACAGACAAACAGACAAACAGGCGGACAGACAGTTCAAACAGTTCAAAACGATAAGAGCTTTTAAAAAAGCTATTTAAATCTCGTTTCTAAATAATGACATCGTCCGTCTACCTAATTGGTTTAAAAGTTCAACGAATTCATTTATTAGCCAATTATGGTGCTCGGACGTTTCTTGGAAGAGTTCAGACAACAAAATGGTTTTAATTTTTAGGAAAAAATGAATAATTTATTAAATAAATTTCCCGTTTAAGCTAAGTTTTAGGATAATATCATCGCGGATCGTTTTATAAAAGTTCCTTGTAATCGATCTGCCAGTTCAGAGAATTCTCCTGTTACTTTTACACAAATAATCGATATTGAATATCTGTTAAAAGGTGGATCATGTAGTAGCCGAGTGGATCAGATGCCCGAAATAATCCAGTCCACACGAAAAATAAGTAAATACTCGTTATTTAAGAACATGTGACACGTGGTACGATTGTTAAATCACTCGAAAATGGGGTGGTAGGTATCGAAAAACGAATTTGAATCATTTATAAAAGTTATTTTTTTCATGCCTTTAACAGAAACTAACTTTTTGACGAAGCGGTGGTCGTGTTTTATGGAAAAACGTGGTTTTAAATTACCCACGTGTTTATTATGAAAATACAGCTTCACGTTCACCCACGTGTTGATTTGTATGTAAATATGCTTGCAGTTCACCCACTTATTGACTTATACGAAAACATAGCAGTTAATTGACAAGTTGATTCGTATTGAAATTTAATTATTGATCCATCCATGTATCGATTCCGAAGAAAACACAGTGGTTTCTACGAAAACGCGACTGCAACTTACCCATAAGTTGATCTGTACTGAAACATGGAGTGTTGCAGATCATTTACATATTTATCCGTATGGAAATTTATCTTCACGGTTCACCAGAAAGATGATTCATATGAAAACATGATTGCTACATGATTCTGACGAAAGCATCGCTTGCAATTTATCATGAAATGATTCTTATGAAAACATGGTTGAAGCTAACTCATAAGTTCATTAGTATGGAAGTATGATTTACTGATCACTTACAGGAATCGTGTGGGAAGATGTGGCAGATTGCCACTTGTTGATTGGTGTGAAACCATAATTGCAGATCATCAAGTCTATTCGAATGGCAACATGCTTGCAGCTTTCACCATAAGGCGATTCACACGGAAACGTCTCAGTAAATCAATGCAACTGGATACATTTGAATATAAAATATATATTTTAAAAAGCCGTCCATGGCAATTTAATGTAATTAAAAACACAGAATCTCCAATAATGACCACCTCTAAAAAGCGGACTTTTTTTTATATTTCCGACAGTGGCCGTCATTCAGAGGTTCGAAGTTATAATAACCAGAATCGAAAAGTGAATTCGGATCGACGATATTAACCATATTAGTAAAGGGCATGTAAAAACACCAATAACAATTAAAGTGCCAGCATGGATTAATTATTAGAAACTATTTTTTAATTATAATCAGGGCGGTTTCTTTTTAATTAGTTTACTTTATTAATCACCGAGCAATCTCATCATCAAAAATAAAGAAAGGAGAGTTAATTAGAAGAGAAAAAATTATCTTGGGCATTCATTGTCCGTGCATTATTTCCTCGTGATGTCATCGTAAAGGTTAACGAAATGATTATTAACGTCCGTCCTTGGCTTCGGAGGATTTTCAAGAAACTAACTCCACGTTTGACGTATTTATAGACTCGAAATTAATTCTAAAACAAGAAAAAAAAAACACATCTTATCCCATTGTTCGCCATTTTCTTCTTCTTACTTCTCATCTGTTTCATTCATTATTTAATAGGGTTTGTTCGTTTCTTCGCATCGATGATCCTACTAATCCTGACTTTTTGAATCCTGTAATTGTCTCTTCTTAACCATTAACGATTTTTTTTTTTAATATAAATTATTGTGAATGAATGGACGGGGAGAGAGGGTCGTAGAGGGTCGGCTGTGATGTAAGTTTAAATTTTTCAATTGTTTTCGTCCTTGCGACTCTATTCATGCCCTTGAACTAATGAAATTTGTGCTTTGCCGGTTTGAATTTCTGTTTACGAAACTCACTTGCAGTTTCAGTAGGATTAATTGGGTGATTTTTTGGTAGGAAATTATACGTAAAACTGAAAAATACGGTGTTTAGTGGGACAAGGTGCACAAAGCCAAGGAAAAAAAAAAAACATATAAACATATAAATTTTAATGTAATAAAAATGCATAAAACGTTTTTTTAAGTTACATAAATTCAAGGACGAAATTCCTTAGTAGGATAAACATAATTTATTATAGAGTTCTATAATTTTCTTAAGAGGCTAAGGATGTGTTGTAGTAGGATCAAGTGTATTCAATTCCGTAGTATTACATAACACTCGGAAACAAGTGGATAAACACGTCCACATCGTGAATTTTCTGTAGGATAAATACAAAGAAATGGGAGAAGAATATTTGTATTTTTATAGGGAAGGAAAATGCGGATAAAGCTTGACAACAGAATGATTTTACGCTCCACGTGAGTCTTTTATCTTTCGAAAAATTCGTAAATATATCCTTTCGTGGACTTTTACACAGATAAAAATCTTAGCCAACTGGACGGAGATAGAGATAAAAATGCGAAATCAATAAACAATGGCGTGCCAAACGATCACGTGATTGACTTCTCCCCCGTATAAGACCGGTTTTGTACGCCTACGTACGAGTACCGTACCTGCTACGTACACGACTTGACATTGGAGTCATGCCTGAATTCGCACGTAAGGATTCTTTCGAATCCTCTCCACCGTGTTCCTTGCCAAATTTTCTTTCATGCACTCGTCACGTGGCATTTTTTTTTGTGCTCTGGCACGTTTATGAAATACGCAAATTATCATTTATTCTTTTCTTTTGTACGTGTTTCTCTGTAAAATAAAAACCCGTGACAAAATAGTTACGTAACAGAAGCACCTCGATTCCCGTATTCAAAAAAGTAGTGTTTTAACAGACGTCTAGCGTGCGACGCGATATTAGTTCGCGATGTCGCGTCGCTCGAACAACGTACACCTTTTTTTTATTATTTATCCTATAGAAAATTTACGGTGTGAACGTGTATTCGAGTATACAGTATAAACATGTTTTTAATTTCTATTAAAAATACATAAAAGTTATTTTAAATGCTTATATTGTTTACTCGATACGTCGAGTGAATATTATCAGAGCGACGCGACACCACGCAACTAAATACTATTATTATTATTTAATAAACTCGTGTATTTTTTTTAAGTGAAAAATTACTAAATTCGATTTAAAGTATCAAAATATCTTAAATATTTTCGTAATTTTTGAATTCGAGCGTGTGTTTTAAGCGAAAGCGACGAAGCGACCGTCGCTTCTCGCTGTCGCGGTAGTGGAATGTTGTATTTCGCAGTTTGTTTTTACTTGAATTTTAATTATGAAATTTTCTTTCCTGTTCGTGAGCAAGCCACTAAATTGTAGAAATTTATTTCATTAAAATCCGAAAAAATAAACACATTTATGTGGACAAACTTTTATAGATTATTCTATCAACTAGATCAATAAAATACAGATGTTGGAGTCAACTTTTTATCCTAAAATGGGAACAAAACTTCTGCTGTACGTACACATGACACACTTTTACACTTATCGATTCTACGCGATGCCAATTTAATAATAAAAATGGGTTTTGACAACTAAAATAAGGGCGTCACCAGAGTTTACACCTTTTCTTCTTACTCATTACACCTGCTGCGACTATAGAGTACGTCACACGTAAAAATAACAGTTGTTTAGGGAGGTGGGAGGTTAAAGTTCCGATCATGTGATCAAAATCCACGCTCCCGATTTCTATATAACCCCCGGGGGTTGGGAAAAAATGGCGGGCGCATTGCAGAAACGTAAGCAATTTTCTAGGAAGACCCCATTTTGGTGACATGTTACTGGGATGAATAACCTGAAAACAGACCCCGATCGATAAAAAGAAAGGTAACCAAACTGATAAACGTTCCTACTATTTTTATGGTGTACGCGTAGAAAATATGAAGAGTACCACACCCAACGGAGGTAAAAAAATACCACTTAATTTTTGGAAATTTAGTCGTTTTTGGAGGTTTTTAGGGTGAAATCCGAAAGCCAATCAGTCGAACTTAGTTTTAGTAGGATCGTTTTGAAAGTCAGAGGTTTTTTTTCGGTAGTATAAATATGCATAAATTTACAATACCAGAGATTTTAGTGGGATAATTATACATAATTAGCTTGGTATAGAAGCTGCTTAGGAATTATTTTGTAGTATAAAGGGCATTTAATTTGAGAACAGGCATTTTAGTAGGTTATACTTGAAAAAGCAAAAGTTATTGACTTATTTTTAAACGTTACATTAAAAAGTAGAACATGTCAAAAAAACCCGTAGAAATATATAAATTAAGCTATTTTCGGGGGGGGTTGGAAGTTAGATAAGGATGAATTTCTAAGATAAATGAGCAATTGATTAGATTTGCCATACAGTACTAATTTTAGCATGATCACAGGCACAAATTTTGAAAGTCAAAGGTTTCAGTAGGGTAAATTGTGTGTACACTTATCCAAAGATACTTAAAAAACTCAGAAACTGTTCACTGATTTAATATCCTTGTGTTATTAGAGGTTTTAGTAGGTTATGTATGATATCACTGATAAGTCATTAACTTATTGCTTTAAGTATTAAATTTTAAAAAACCTAACACATGTAAAACACTTCAAATTAAGCAATTTTGGGTGGTTTTTGAAGTTGGAGGAGGAAAAGGAGAAAGTTAATTGTTCTTTTATATGACAGCTACTAATAGAATTTATTATACAAAGTACTATTGTACCTCTGATTCTACTAAAACTTTGAAAAAGTGTCAAAGGTATTAGTAGGATAGTTGTAAGAATCTTGTAACTTTACTGTTCTTTGTGTATATATGTTAATAATTAAATGGATAAATTTATTAAATTAGTAAGCAGGAGTTTTAGTAGGTTACACATGACAAAGCAAAGAAGTTATTGTTTATCCATATACATTACATTAAAAAATTAATACATGTAAAAACAGCAATAGAAATTTACAAATCAAACTGTTTTAGGGGATATGGAAGCTAGGATCTGAGATAAAAGACTAATTAATTGATTATACTCAATTAGAGTTCAGAGGTTTTGGTGGGATTATAAACAAACTTTATTTACCAGTTTAATCCACAAGGTGCTACTAAATAGTTACTTACAGAGGATTTTAGTAGGTTATATGATAAAGCATAAGACGTTATTAACTTATCTGTAAATATTAAACTAAATAATAGCTGGAATATCTAAAAACCTCACTAGAAATTTATAAATTAAGCAACTTTGGAGGGAAGTTAGAGAGCAAGGGCAAGAAAGCTATTGATTATTTATCTGGCAGGCATGTTGTAGCATTTTCAGTAGGATCAGAGACACAAATTTTGAAAGTTAGAGGTTTTAGTAGGATAAGTAACCTTACATACATCTATCCTACTAAAACTTGTGTACATCAACCAATTAAGTTAGTAGTATGAAATATATTAAAAAATTACTAAACGGGATTTCAGTATGTTATATATGATAAAGCAATAAAAATTTATTGACTTATTAATATATATTAAATTAAAAAATAACCAGCGTTCTAGTGGGTTTTTAGATACTAAAAACCCACTAGAAATCTACAAATTAAGCAATTTTGGGGGGAGGAAGTTAAAACAAGAGAAGAGAAAGTTAATCATTCTTTATCTAGCACTCAAATAGTAGCACATTTTCAGTAGGATCAGGGATCTAGATTTTGAAATCTAGTAGTTTTAGTAGGATAAGTAACTTTATTACACATTCATCCAATTAACTTAATAGCATCAAGTATGTTAAACTTAGCAAACAGGGGGTTTTAGTAAGTTACCAGCAATTACTATGACACCTAGAGATGCAATTTTTAGCGGTAAATTATTTTAAAAACAAAACTTTTCCGTGTCCTGTGTCGATTTTCGTACATCTAACAGACAGACAGACTGTAGGAATTGAAAATTACAGCGAAAGAATATTGACTAAGTGTGTAACAACTGCTTGCATCAATAAATTTCGGGTGAATGCACCCAAAAAAAAAAAAAAAAAAAAACGCGAGGTTCT